TCAATGACATGAGACAAAGTATATGTGAACTGCTGTATGAAAAGTGAATTTACTCTGTAAATCTTCACCCAAATCCTAATAAAAAAAAGGGGGGGGGGAGAAGGAACCAGGTTTGCAGGTCTAATAGAGCCTGAGACTATGGCCACTAGCTGCCCTTCAGGTCTGGATTTGAACCCACTCCCGTAGCTTCCAAAAAAAAAAAAAAAAAAAAACAGACATATAAGCTGAACATTTACATAGGTAGATACACTCCTTGGAGAAATCAAGCATGAGAGAATAGAAGGGCTGTGTATGCACAGGTAGACAGTTCAGGGAGCAGGAATGCATGTGACAGAAGGACACAGGGAAGAGATAACTATAGGCAGGAAATGGGAGGGGAGCTGTTGCATTGTAGGAAATCACAGTCAATGACATGAGACAAAGTGTATGTGAGCTGCTGTATGGAAAGTGAATTTGCTCTGTAAACTTTCACCCAAATCACTTAGGCTTAACACCTAAGTTGCATGATCTTTGAAGTGCATTATTTTGTTTTTCAATAAAAATTAAAATAAATAAATAAATAAATAATGCACTTCAAAGATCATGCAACTTAGGTGTTAAGCCTAAATTCTCTTAGTGATGTTTATATTCTCCATAAAATAAAGTGGATGAAATGTATAAAAACTACATGAACTGTACAGAGAAAAGTAGACTCACTTCATTTCCGCAATGACATCTTTGTTGAAGTCTTTTAGGAGAAGAGATATTTTGTTCCTAGAATTCTCTTTTGGTGAAAAGGAGAAGAATATTTTCATAAGTTGTTCCATGAAATCTATTATGCTTCTTGTAAGGAAAATAATTTTCTCATTATTTTCTGAATGTGTACGGTTAAAGGTGAAGTTAATGGAATCCATTATTTGAAGGTCAGCATTACTTAAATTTGGGGCTGCTTCTTGAGAGCCCCCAGCTAAGTTATTGATTGAATTGATGATGATGCTTTCCAAAAGCAACTGAATGATGGAGAAATTACTTAGGTGTTGTTGGTTTAGTAGATGACGAAGGACAGCATCAAAATTACCTTCTTTAGAAAAGTTTTTGAAGTAGCCCAAAATGGTAGTAATATCTTTTGAGAGCAAAGCTATATCATCAGTTGAATGCTCACTGGTCATTAGAGGAAATAATGTTTGTATCATTCTGTGATAATTTTCATTTGCATATTTATGGAGCCAGTTGCTTATGTTCATTAGAAAATATTTAATAATTTCTAATGTTTGCAATGATGAATCTAGCCTTTCCAAAAACTGGGAAATTTGCAAAGTTGTGTTTTGAAAAGCCATTGAATTTATCATTTTAATTTCATGGTTAATTTCAGAGATCAGGTGACTTATACTAAAGTTATGCCTTAGGTCTTTCATAGTTTGTTCAAACTCAAACCATAGTTCTTCAAAATTGTAGTGTGCTTCACTTTTTTTAATAAGACTTGATAATGTTTCTAAACTACTCCCTGTTAGATTTGCATTCAGAAGCATGATGAATGGAAAGACCAGTGAATTAGAACTATTTTCTGGACTCAGACCACCAGAAATTGATTTTACCATTCTTTCCAAATGTAAAGAATTATTATTTGGAACAGACACCCTTGCACCTTCATTTATGTTAAGAATCTTGTTTAAACTAGCTAGTCTATCAAAAAAATTTTCACTTGACGTAACTTTTGTAAAATTAACATTTTTAAATATTTTAATAATTTGCAAAGCAACCTGCTTCATGTAGCTGTCAGTACAAAGTTCAGAGATGCTATCATTAATTTGATTTCCAGAAGATAATACATATGGTAACAACTTATGCAAAAGTTCTTGTATAGTTTTCACAAAAGAAGTTTTGATGTGGAAAACTTCAGACATTTCTAAGAAGATAAAATTCCAGTCCAATAATCCATGAATTGCACAGACCACTTTTCTAGTTAACTCTATCCTTGAACTTATATTTGAGCATTGTATACTTTCATCCAGGAGAGAAAGGTGGAAGAGATCAAGTAGACCAGCAACTTTTCTATAAAAGGAAGAAAAAATGAACTTATCAGTATTACAGGCTTCTACATTTGGATTCTCATGAAATTCAGATGTTGTATGATTCCAGCACCAAACTTCAGGCAGACAGGTTAAAGCTTCTGAAACAATTTCTGGTTTATCAGATATTAATTCAATTATGTCCAAAAGAGTTTTTACTGCAACAGTAAAGTCTTCCTTGCTAATGCTTGAAATAGCTATGCCATGAAGGAGCGTGAAGTTATAAACATCCTTGAGGGCCTCTGTGATGTTTTTGTCAACTACCCTCTTTAGGAGTCTCATAGCATGAGGAAGCACATAGTACATATCTACCACAGCATTAACATCATCTTTAGGAAACAGACGTGAGAGCTTCAGTAAATGGCTAACATCCCAAGAATGTGAACTCTCTACAAATTTTTCCATCAAGCCAACAAGCAAGTTGATCCCGAAATTGCCAGTATCTAATTTACTGATATTCTTAAAGAAATCCATTAGGTTTTCACTGATCTGTTCCAGTTGATCTACTAACAGATCTATGTCTGTCTTCTTGAGAGTGTGCATGAGAGAAGATACTTTCTTTAAAGCTGGAATATTACCTATATTTTGTAGAATATCATGAGGAACTGCAGGCATTAAGGAATTGAACACATCCCTGACCAGTTGAATACCAAGACCCACAGTTTCCATGATTTCATGTTGAATTTTTGTAGGTGAATTTTGAAGATCATGTGATAAGTTGAAGGCAAGGTAACTAGCAAAATGATAAACTGAGTTTCCTAAAATGTTTAAATCCTTTTCCTTTGGCCTGGTGGCAAATGCACTCAAAAACTTTTCATTTTTAGAAGAAAGATTATTTTCCGGGGTGTTACGGTTAGTATCTTTTACAACTTTCTGAATTTCGTTCCCCAGAGCTACTAAAGGTAGCCAAATATTTTGGAATTGTTTAGGAAGTTCATCTGACAATTCTGTGGGTCTTAGAATCAATTCAGCAAAATGTTTCCAGTTAGATTGAGATGCAAAACGGAAGTCTTGGGTTAAGTTGTGAATAATCATCCTTATTTGAGTTGTGGGATCATTTAAAAGAGTTAATAAAATCTTAAATTTTGGTACCTTCTCTTGTTCAAAGACTGCATTAAGTGCAATATTTAGAAAGTCAGTTACATTTCTCAGGTAAATATCCACACAATTTACAGTTGACTCATTCCATGAACAAAGAGATTTCTTCATATTTATCACCCATGTAACAAGTTTCATTCCAGTGCTCATTCTGTTTTCTATGTCTCTGAAACTCCCCAAAATACCCTGAAGATAGCCATGTGAAATACTAGAGTTATACATAACATACAAATGATTTATGACATCTATCCATGCAATACATCCTTTCAGTGTATGAGTTATATTCTCAGAGGAAAATGTTGGATTTAATAAGGCCAGAATAGGCAATATCCTTTGTGAAGTATTAACATATAATAATTCTTCAGAAATAAATTTAGTAACATTCTGGAAAATATCAGCACAGGAAAACAAATCTTGTTCATATGATATATTTCTTAAAAGTAATATTGTTTCTCTTAGCTGAGTGAAGACACTTTGAAACTTTCCTTCATAATTTGTTAGATTATTTGAAAGAAAGCATCTTGGCAAATGTACATTTCTATCTATATACTCTGAGGCATTGATTAACTCAATAAAAACTTCAAGCAGAGAATATATAAACTCTCTGCTTCTATTTATATTCAGTGGAAATATCTCTAGCTGACGTAGGGTACTTTCTATTGTGAAAAGAGACTTTTCTACTTTTTCAGGGTGAAGCGATTTCACTGTAACTAATACATCATTTAGCCCTACCCACAGTTCACTGAGATCCAGGAAATTATTACAATCATGGATGCCATTGGCTTGAGTTGCAGTTTTAAACAAATTTAACAGCAGTCTAGCAGGGTGATTGGTAGAAAATATTCCCTGGCAGTTTTTAGAAATTTTCACAACATTTTCCAATTCATCCAAAAGCTGATTGAGACCAAAATGAAGAGATGTGAAAATATTCATGTCAACCTTAAATATCTGAGATATGCTTCCCCAGATTTCAGTCCACATTTGAAGCCATGAAATGGTGCAGGGAATGGCTGTAAAGTCATTGAATGTACTGCTGTTTGCTGAAAGGTTTGAAAGAATTTGTGCCCACGGAAGAATAAATGAAGATCCTCCAACTGCTGAATAATTTAGAGAAGTAACACTCTTGTTATTCAAAGCAAAGCATTCAATACTTAACAGACTTTCTACTGAACCATTGAAGAATTGGCTTATATATTGAAATACAGACATACGGAAATCTTCATCTATTATGAACAGTTGTTTGAGACCAGTCAAAGTAGAATGGATCATTTCCAAATCTTGGCCCTCTGTTGACTTCAGGGACTGGGCTTGATTCTCCAAAAAGTGAAAAATTGATAGTAATTGCTGACAATAAGATACTTTAGAAAATCTATCAAGAACGCCTGTTGCATCAGATAAAAATGCAAATGCTTTGCTGATGTTTTGGAAATTAAATTGCTTTATAACATCTAAAATGTGTTTTGATATTTGTGTAAGGCAAGTTAGCAAAGACTTTCTATTTGGAATGCTCAAGAAGAATTTATCCATGTGTTGGTAAAATGAAGAATAAATCTGCAGAAGTAAAGCTGAATCCTTGTCCTTGAAGAAATTTTGGTATATATGAGTGAAAATTTTGTCAACTTCTTGGTTTTGAGATTTGGAAAGGGTTGAGAAAAGATCAGATGCATTCCTTACAACATAGACTGTGTTCAAAGCTTCTGAAACTTTTTCCTCACTCAGAAGTCCAAATTCATAGAGACTATTTATTATCATTTCATTTAAATGCACAAAGTCTAAGTTCACCACTGGTGATTTAGACCAATCTGAATGGAACAACTGGGAAAAATTAAAGCTTTTACTAAGCATCCTTTCGTTATTTGGAACAGAAAAATTTGAAAGTATAGACAATGTTTCCATTTTAACTCTTTCTCTTTCTGAAATGCCATGTATCCATAACTCCAGTAGGTTGGAATTAATTTCGGAAAGTATTGACTCCATGTATCTAAACACATTTTCTGACTCCTTCTTTATCCAGTGATTTTTAAGAGTTTGTAATTCTTTGCCAAATTCCAAAAGTTTCTTAATATCAATAGTAGATGAGTTTTTCTCTAAATTATTTAAATGATTTATCCACAAAAGGTTGATATTCAGAAGATTCTCTGTGAGAGATGAAAAGTTATGGAATTTGAGAACATGGGATGAGTAAAAAGTATTAGGCAATAACAATTTCTCCAAATATTCCACAAATGTTAAAAGAGAGTTCATTTGTTCATCTTCAAGGTTATGTAATTTTTTTTCTATCATTAGAAGATCTTTTGTGGAATTTAACACCCTGCAATATTAATAGAATTGTTTTAGTATTAGCAGGAAAAAATAAATTCAAGATAAATTCAAATAAATCTCTAAGATAATACTATTTATTTATAGTAAAACAAAAATTAAATATTTACTAGACAATATATGTCCTAACAAAAATTAAACATATATGAGTGTTTGAAAGAATCTTAGAAATCCACAATGCAGTTGCATATACTTAGCTTAAAATGTGTTTCCTAAACAGAAAACAATGTATTATAAATTATTTATAGCATACGTTCCTAAGAATGATTATTAAAAATAACTTTGTTGTAAGAATCTAAGGATTCAATTCTGTATTGCATCTTAAAATGTCTTAGAGCTATAACCAAACACCCAACTCACTGCCATCAAGTTGGATCTGACTCATAGAGACCCCTTGAGTTTCCAAGGCAGTATCACTACAGAAGTAGATTGCCAAATCTTCCTTCCAAGGAATGGCTGATGGGTTTGAACCACCAGGCCTCTGGTTAGCAGTCAAATGCCTTAGGCATACTATATGGTGGGACACATCAAAAATAGCACCTCTACAATTTAAGGAAAACTGTTGGAAATACCTATCCCAGAAGGAAATTCCAATATTCTTTCAACAAGGCTATAAATCTCATTGGAAACCCATTATTTTAGATTGTTCTCTATGGGTACTTATGTTTAAAATATGAAGAGTTCTTAGAGGGATAACTCAGAATTACTACAATTCTCAATTCTACCTGGCAGTAGAAATCTATACTTGCAGAAGTTACTAACTCGTAACTCAGAATTTCCAAATCCACTTTTGAAGTTATTGGGGCCTTATGTATTTCAGAATTCACAGTGTTCAGAAATTAGAAAGATAACATAGCATATGTAACAGATACATATTAATGCCTTCCATGGGGAAACTGTACCAACTAGTCATCAACACATTAACACTTGCAGTGAAACATGTGAATGTTGTCACTAAGTTGGGTCAGCAGTTTCAAATAGCTTCACCTTAGTCAGAACTAAGTTCTGCCAAATGTTTTGATGCCAAACTTAAGAAAAACTTCAACTTCCAGAGTTTTCAAAATTTCAGAATTATAGATCAGGGATTTTGACTTGTATTAGCTATTTTATTGGACAAGAACTCAATTTGGCCTTTGTCTCTGGTTTCTGGAAAACAGCCCTGGAAATTCTTGAACAATCAGCTTGTCTTTATTTTTCTAAAATAGCCAAGCAACACTTAAACATGTGCACATGAGTAGGTGCTGAATAGGCCCCACCTTGAATATAAACATCTGGAAAGGAGGAGAGCATGAGGAAGTTGGTCATGTATATCCATTGTTTCATGAATGTGTGCTGAGACCCAAAGACTATTATAAGGGACCCTGTAACTTAGAACTTCATTTTGGAAGCTTCCTGATTGGTAAGGGCATCCATGAATAGAAGAAGTCCTTGGGGATAATGGAAGCCTTGTGCTAGGATCTCTCCCAGATTTATATCTATTCACTTATATCTTTTCTGGTTATAAAAAAATTGCTAACTGTAGGTTGGGCAATCTACTTCCGCAGTGATACCGCCTCAGAAACCCAAGGAGGGGTCACTATGAGTCGAATCCAACTCGATGACACAAAACAACAACAACAAACTTAGGTAAGTCTCCATGAATTCTGTGAGCCACTATAGAAAAATAACAAACCTATATGGGGCAATGAACCAGCAGAGTCTGGCAGGATAGAGTCACAACTTGTAAAGGCCCAGGTCTGTATCAGGGAAAGCCTGCACAAGCAGTAAATAAAGGATAGAATCCTTCTAGGCTGTGATCTAGTGGGAAGGAACTGGGGGGTGGGAGTTGGTCTGAAGTACAGAGAATTGTGCAAACTACTGTACCTATGGCTGGCACCCAATGACCTGGTCCCAAGTAGCCAGGGATGTATTGAAATGCTCACACGGGGCCAGAGATTAAGTCTGACTTAACTCGGGGTGGAGAGTGTCAGAGAGGAAGCATCATAGAAGTGATTGGTGACAAGGATCATGGAGATGTGGGAAGGGAAATCATGGATACCCTTCCAGGTGGAAACTGGATTCATAGTGATCCTTACCAAACCATTAGTGATAAATATCATGGGTTTTCCTCCTTGATTCCTTTTCAGTGCAGTTGGCAGCATAGTTATTAATGTCTTTAAAGGGTAAAAGACTTTCTAAACATCTTTAACTCTTTATTCTTGTTGTGTTATATACTCTCTGGCTTATGCTAGATCAAATGCAAGAATATTATTTCCTCTCTAAAACCAAGATCTGAGCACAGCAGAAATATGGGCTTAATTTCTTTTATAATTATTTATGGAATAGGGAGTACTTAAGATACTTTAAGTATGTGACATTGAGATCATTTCCTAAGAAACATTCCAATAAGAAAAGAGAAAGCTATCTTATTAGAAATCCAATATAAACCTTGCGTAATTCACACTCTTTCCTAGATTACAATGCAGGTGGCTGTGCATTGATAAAAGAGAATATAAAACTTTATATTTTTATATGACCAGCTGAAAGGATAATGATGTAATAATAATAGTAACAACTGAAGTAGAACTAGTATTGGTAGTAAAAATATTGCTATTTTTATATCATATTACAATCTATAGGTCTCAGGGTGGCATAAATGATTTGGTCTCTAAGTAACCTAAAGGCTAGTAGTTTGAGCTTACCCAGTGGAACTGCAGGAGAAAGGCCTGGAGATCTGCTCCTGTAAAGATTATAGTCAAGAAAACCCTATGAAGCACAGGGTTTCCGTGAGCTGGAATTGACTCATTGGCAATGGGTATACAGTTTATAAACCATTTTCACAACTACAATCTTAGTTCATTTCTGCAACAGTCTTTTAAGATACATTATTATTTCCATTTTATGGAAAAGGAAATGTTTCAATTTATTATTTTTTTTAATTAGATGATTTACAGTATTACATGCAAGAAATCAGAAATATTCAGGTTTTGTATGCTTAATGTTCAATCTTCTTTATTTCTTTTTTCATTCATTAAATCAGTAACTATTCATCTAGCATCTGTAGTGAAGGACATTGTGCCAGCTGCTAGGGCGTCTGTACTATGGGTATAAGATTAAACAAGCCCATGGAGTACATGTAGTCTAGTTTTTTGGTTGTCTTCCAAGAGCTAGTAAATATTTGAGAATTTCAAGAAAGTGAGGAATTACATATTAGAAATGAGCAAAGGGTTAATTCTCCCAAGAGACTATTCCACTGTCATTTCCCCTGTGATCACTAATAAAAAAATAAACAGTTGACATCAAGTCAGAGACCTCAAGTGTTACAGAGTAGAACTGCTCCATGGGGTTTTCTTGGCTACAATATTTACAGACGTTACCAGGCCTTTCCTTTGTGGTGCCTCTGGTTAGGCTCAAACTGACAACTTTTATGGCTGGGGTTAGGAGATTCCCCAGCAGTGATAAACCCCATCTGTAGATAAACACAGTAGAATGGTTTTCCAGCTTTGATATACACTAGAACCACCTGTAAAGTTTGTAAAATATATTGAAACCTTAGTCCTGCACACAGGGGAGGATTTAGTATGCCTAGGAAAAGGCCCAGGATTTGTATTTTTTGCAAACTTCACAGATAAATCTGGTTCATTCTCAATTTTGAAAGCTACTGCTGTATTACTGTTGTAATGCAAACTCCTGCCCTATTGCAACCCCACCCACCCTGCAAAATAAAGTATATGTCTTTAAATTATATACAATAGCCATTATTGTACAGAAAAAAAGAAATACATCCATTTCAATACATACACTGAAATAGCAGGGCAGCAAATAATCTGGCAGATTTTATTCTGAAGATTACTTCTCTCCCCAAAATGTCTAAAACTACCAGAATCTAAATCTTAGATCCTATGCTCTGGTGGCATAGTGCCTAAGGCACTGGACTGTTAACCAGAAGGCTGGTGGTTCAAACCCACCAGCCCCTTCTCGGAAGGAAGGTTGGGCAATCTACCTCGGCAGTGATACTGCCTCGGAAACCCAAGGAGGGGTCACTATGAGTCGGGTCCGACCTGACAGTACATAACAACAACAACAACAATGTATAAACCCTAAGAAAACAGTTAAGATTATTTTTCAAATAATGATTTAAGTTTTTTAATATTTATTATAAATCCTGCTACTATTTTTAATCAAGGATTCTATAGCAGAATCCTGATCAAAAGGAAGGCACAAAATGGTGACTCTAGGTCACTCTATGGAGGTAAAGTCTTATTCCTATAATCTGTATTTCCTCTTAAAATCTAGGTAACATGTACCTAAGCATCATACATTGTATTAAACAAATATTTATTGAATACTTAAAGTGAAACCCTGTATTAATATTCAAATAAAGATCTTAAAATTAGGTTTTGCTTATCTTCAGAGAGTTGTTTATCAAGACCTGAATTTTGAATTCTGAACACTTACCTAGATATTGAAGATATTGGTGACTTGAATAAATTATTCAGAAATAAAACATAATTATCACTGATGATTTTCCAATCCACGTTTTCTTCATAACAAGGAGATTCCTCAGAGAAAGCTGAATAAGAAAGACATCTTACATACTGATTGTAACTTGAGTAAATATCAAATCTAGTAACATGGAGCAGCTATACGGTTGAAATTTAAAAAGGAAGATTTGAAATCCCACTAATTTTACTTCTGCTTCAGGCAAGACAAAGTAACAGAAACTGGGTTTACCTTCTCACTTGAAATATATGAAAAATGGACAAAAATGTGAAATAATGATTTTCAAGACACTGAATATGTAGCAATGAAGGACACTGATCCCTGAGATACAGACAACAAACAAGGTAAGATCTACAATTATCTTAGCTCATTGCCTTAAGAGACTGTCTAGGTCATGGCACAGGAAGGGGGAACAGACAGATGTCCTGAGTTGAGGGGCCACTCCTTAGAGTCTAGAAAAACAAGGTAGCTTGGGTTCACAGACCAGGTACTAGAAAGGAGAGAGCTGCACAGAGGGAGAACCAAAGAGATTGGCAGGTACCTCTCTTTTTTTCACCTGAGAACTGATCAACCTATGCTTGCAAGGAAACTATCTAAGATTGAAGAAAGAAACACTCAAAAGCATAAGAAAAAACAGTGTCAGCAATCACACAAGACCAGGAGAAAAATCTGTTTCTATCAGGCAGACTAAAAATATCTCACGATTCATTAGACATTGAATGGAGTATACAAAAAGGTATTGCTGCAGTAGTGGGGAATATTTACAATTAGACTGAGACAGCTCCAGTCCTACCTAATAAATATTAAGAGCAAGACCCAAAGGATCAAACTGTTTTCAAATCATTTAATTGCAACCCAAAAGAAAGCCAAAATATTTATAGGACTACAAAAATAAGACACATAAAACAAGGTCAAATTCATAAATTTATCATCCAATAAAAAATCTCATTCAGGCAAAGAAGCTGGAAAATATGACCCATAATTAGGCAAAAAACTTGTCAATCAAATTTGACTCAGAACTGACAACAATTTTAGAATTAGCAGAGAATAAGATTAATTATATTAAATGACAATGGCCTAAATATCTCCATAAGAAGGTAGAAATTTTCAGACTGCACTAAAAAAGTGACCTAACTTCATGATTCTATAATAAATGCACTTGAAGTATAAAGATATAAATAAGTTAAGAGTAAAGGATGGAAAATATCATCATAACACTACTCATAATAAAGCTGGAGTGACTATATTACTATCAAATAGAGTAGATTTCAGAGCAAAGAACATTATCTAGAACAAAGAAGTTTGTTTCATAATGATAAAATCATCAATTATCAAGAGAACACAACAATTCCAAATGTTAATATACCTTATAGCAAAGTTTCAAAATACGTAAAAGAAAAACTGATAGAACTGCAAGGAGTAGTCAAATTCACAATTATACTTGGAGGCTTTAATATCCCTTTCTTAAAAATTTATAGAACAGGATGACAAAATATTTGAACATAATCAAGCAACTTGATCTGATTAATATTTATAGAATGTTCCATCCAACATAAACATAAAAATATACATTCTTCCCAAGGGCATATGGAACAATTATCAAGAAAGACCATAATCTGAGACACAAATTAAGACTCAAGAAATTTAAGAAGAGTAAAGTCATACAGAGTATGTTTACTGACAAACATAGAATTAAATTAGAAATCAATAACAAGCATATACCTGGAAAATTATGAATTATTTGCAAATAAAATTACACACTTCTAAATAACTCATGAATCAAAGAAGAAATCAAAAGAGAAAGTAGAAAGTACTTTGAGCTGAATGAAAATGAAAGCACAACATGGTAACATACGTGAGATGCCACTAAAAAATTACTTAGAGAAGAAATGTATAGCATTAAACATCTACATTAGAATCAATAAAGATACACTTCTGCACTGATAGCAAAGTACAGCGAGACAGAAAATAATAAATGCTGGTCAGGATGAGGAGAGATTGGGACTCTCATATACTGCTGGTGGGACTGTAAAAGGATACAACCCCTGTGGAAATAGGTACAGCAATTCCTTAAAAAGTTGGAAATAGAAATACCATATGATCAAGCAATTGCAATCCTAGGTATATATCCTAAAGGAGTAAGAGCCAGAACGTGAATAGATATATGTACACCCATGTTTATCACAGCACTTTTCACAATAGCAAAGTGATGGAAACAACCTAAGTGCTCATCAACAGATGAGTGGATAACCAAACTATGGTACACATATACAATGGAATACTATACAACACTAAAGAATAACGTAGAATCCATGAAACACTGCATAATGTGCATGAATTGAAGGACATTAAGCTGAGTGAAATAAGTCAATCACAGAAAGACAAATATTGTATTAGTCCACCATAGTAAAATGTCAAGAAAAGATTAATATATGAAGGAAATTCTCTTTGTTGGTTACCAGGGATGGAGGGAAAGTAAAGGAAAAAATGCTAGAAAGGTAAGAGATAAGTACTTATTTGGGTGAAAGGAAAGGTAATATACCAGAAGTGAGTGCCCAACACAATAACACTAAGGAAAAGAAAGACACATAGAGGTGCACAAGATGTACAGACAACAAACATAAACATTTTTACATATACAATACAGCATTATCAGTAATAACAAACATTAATCTATGGGTAGATACATAGGAAGACACACTGCATGATTAGATATATCTAGGCAAAAGGGAATAAACCCATGACCATTACAAAAGTTTGGCAGATGATGTTTCTACATATGTATTTGTATATGCTATAATAATGTCCATGTAAATAGAACAGGAGTAAAGTTATAATAACTTCTAAATCACAACCAACCAACAAGAGAGAGCAAGTTGTTGGACCTGTGGACTCAGGACCATGGTCAAAGTGTACATCAAGATCAATTGGCATAACATACTACACAAAAACATTGTTCTACATCCTACTTTGGTGATTAGTGACTTGGGTCTTAAAAGCATGCAAGTGGCCATCTAGATATAACAATGGATCTCTCCTTATCTGGAGCAAAGAAGAATAATGAAGAAGACCAAGGACATATGGACATAATTGGTCCAGGGGACAAGTGAACCATGTAAACCTCAGCCTATATGACCATGAGATCAGAAGAACTAGATGGTACTCAGCTACCATTGTCAACAACTTGGAATGAGATAAGTGCAGGAGATCCTGGATAGGAGAAAAATGTGGAATAAACCTCAAAATCATAAAAAAAAAAAAAATACTAAACTTATTAGTCTGAGAGATAGGTGAAACCCTCAAGATTATGGCCCCTAGTCACCCTTTAGGCCTACAATTCAACTCACTATCGTGGCTTCCAGCCAAACTGTAGACAAGCATATAAGGTGAACATTTACAACAAGTAGGTATACTCCTTCAGACAATCAAGCATGGGAGATCAGAAGAGCAGTATTTGCACAGGGAGATAACTCAGAGGGCAGAAATGTATAGGAAAGGACACAGGGAAAAGGTAAACACAGGGAGGAAGTAGGAAGAAAGCTGTTGCATTATGGGGATTGCAATCAATGTCATGAAACAAAATGTGTATGAGCTGTTTATGGAAAATGAATTTGCTTTGCAAACTTTCACCCAAATCACAATTTAAAAAACATAATAATAAAATAAACATCTCACACACTTCAACTTCCATGTTAGCAAACTAGAAATGAAGAAGCCATTAAACCAACAGTAAGCAGAAGAAAGAAAACAATAAAGATCAGAGTGGAAATCAAGGAAATAGAAATCAGGGAAAATTTATGAAATCAAAGCTGATCCTTTGAAAAGTTCGATAGCATTGATAAGTCTCTAGGAAGACTAATGAAGAAAAAAGACAGAATATACAAAATACCAGTATCAATTATGAGAGACACGATATTGCTATAGATTCTATAGTACTAAGAGGATAATAAGGGACTGTATGATAAAATTTATATTATGAAATTGGACAACTTAGATGAAAGAGATAAATCCCTTGACAGATACAAACTACCATAGCTCACTGAAGACAAAATAGATAATATGAATAGTTCTATATCTATTACAGAAATTGAATTTGTTAAAAAAAAATCTTCCCATAAAGAAAACTAATGGCTCAGATGGCTTCACTGGTGAATTCCACCAAACAATCAAGGGAGAAATAATGTAATTTTACATTAACTCTTTCAGAAAACTGAAGAGAACACTTCTCAATTCATTTTATAGTCAGGGTTACCTAGATACCAAAATAAGAAAACATATTACAAAAAAAGAAAACTACAAATCACTATTCCTCATAGCATAGATACAAAGTGTTAAACAAAATCTTAGCAAATTGAATCCAACAACATATAAGAAGGTAAAATATATTGAACAAGTGGAGTTTATTCCAAATAGTAATGCACTAACATTAAAAAGTCAATTAAGGTAGTTTACCATTTTAACAAAATGAAAAAGAAAAACTATATAATCATCTCAATAGATGCATAAAAAGCATTTGAGAAAATCTGACATTAATTCCTGAATAAAACTTCTCACTGGGAATAGAAGGAAACTTTCTCTACCTAGGTAAGGGCATCTAGCAAAAATCTATAAATTTACATGCTCAATGGTGAAATACAGAATTCCTATTAGGGCCAGAAATAAGACAGTGATGTTCTCTAGTACCAATTCTATTGAAAATGTACTAGAGGCTACAGCTAGTATAATGAGGCAATAAAAATGGATAAAAGACATACAGATCTGAAAGGAAAAATTAAACTATTTTTATTCACAGATGGCATGACCTTGTATTTAGCAAATTCAATGGAATCTACAAACAAAAAAAAAACCACTAAAACTAAAAAATGAGTTTGGCATGTTTGCAGACTACAAAATCAATATACAAAAATCAAATTTATGTCTTCATACTAGCAACAAACAAATACTGAATTTTTAAAAAACAATTCCATAAAATAGCATAAAAATAATTGAATTTACAATAGCATAAAAAAATTATTGAATTCTTAATGATAAATCTGACAAAATATCTGACTTTACAACAAAAGTGGCAAT